TGTTGTAAAAATGCAAGTGTTTACAGAGCTATATTTTTTATTTTCAATACTTTGCATTTTAAAATCAACTTCTAAATGTCTGTTCTGTAGTCCCTATAACAGATGACACCATTTAATTTTGTGGTGCTTCTAATTAAGTGATAAAATGCAGTTGCATGTTGTACACAATAATTATCACCACTACTCATTTGCACCAATAAAACATGCAACCCTTTGTTTTACTACCAAATTATATGAAATATCTAACTATTATTAATATTTAACATACATTGAAAAGGTTTCCGTGACCTCTTGCGAGATCTCGGCAAAAAGACTCACGATTTATTTCCACAACATGATGCATGATGGGATACACTAAGCCCGCTCTGGAGCGGTTTTCGAGATAGTGTGGATTTAGTGTGTACTTTGTCGTTTTTAAGACCTGGGACAGTCTTGCACACTTACTTCCTGTCGCGCCACCACGCTCTCAAGTGGCCAAGACCGCAAGTGTTGGTATTTGGACAAGGGGATTGAAGCTAGTATTTAAAGGTGCACTAAGCAATATTTGAAAAACGCTTTTGACCACAGTGTCGGGCCGAGTCCCAAAACACACTCGCAGCCAATCAGCAGTAAGGGGCGTGTCTAGTTATGACAGGGAGAAGAGGGCGCTCAGTGAGTGCACAGGACGATATTAGCAGATCGACTATAGATAGCAAGAGATGACAGATAAAAAAAAGAGGAACATTTTGGAGGAACAAAACATTAAAAAGAAGGGTTACGATCAGGCAAGAGGTGCTGTAGGACCTGCGTAAACATTGGAGCAGCTTTCCAGCGGTGGTGCGGGAATAAAATGGTCTTTAAAATGACAATAATATCGCTTATCGCAATTATTTCTGGGGCAATATATCGCACAACAAAAAGTTGTTATCGTGACAGGCCTAGTCAAAATTCGCTTAGTGCACCTTTAACATGATTACTCACTGACTTTGGAAACATCCTGTTTTTTTTAATCCTTTAAACAGTGAATTTTCTTGAACTTTAAATAAGGCTGTCAAGCCCTAAAATTTTTAATCTAATTAATTACATGATGTGCAGATTAATTAATCTAATCACAAATTAACCACACATCAATTTTGGATGAGAAATTCCTACCCCCCAAAAGATCATTTTAAGTTATCATTGTGTTAAATGAGAAAAGCATTGAATATACCAAAAAGTAACTTTAGAAAGGAATATTTTAATTCAGCATGCATAAATAATAATTATTAACTGAATATTGAAATATGAAATGATAAAAAAAATGAAATAATAGTTTAAATATGAAACTAAAACTGCCAGTAGGTGACGGCAAGTCACTGACTGTCATTCACTCATTCATTCAGCTGATTTGTTCAGACAGATGATTCATTCAGAAAGGAAGCAACTGTCTTTATGACTGGCTCACTGAATCACTGGCACATTCAATTCAAAAACATGTATTCATTCAGAAAGTCACCCTCACACTACAGTAGAATTTGAGCGTGTGAAATTTCTTCGGACCCTGCAATGGTCGTGATATGATGTCACACTCTGAGGTGTCTTTTTAAAAACATAAATTCAACACATAACAATAAATAATACATCCAAAATGTAAAGACATTCAATCTACAAAACACTTTCTTGGAATACTGCATTTTTAAATGTCTGTTCTTTTAGTTCAGCTCAAACTTCTATTTATCATAAGGCTTTACGTGATATGAATTCACTGGTTAGAGTACACCAAACTTGAACTTTGGAACGAAGCAAAATGTGAAACGTCTTTGAAACTTCTTGAGTTTGCGTTCCGTTCTCCACATTTACGTGTGTATGAATGGAAGTGTGAAAAATGTAGTGGGACCGCACCTTAAAGAAACACCGCTGTGTTGCTCAGAGATGTGTTCTGCTTTGGCTTTGTTTGGAACTACTTTCATGTAAGAAATTGAGCATAACACACAATATTGACAATACTGTGTCTAAAATTTAACACAATATGTTGTGTGTTATGTTATGTCATGTTTATTAAACTATTGTATAACATCAATATATCACATCTGAAATCCTGCAGATATTCAGGAAAAACAGCTCTCTTGCTCGTTTTATTGTGCTAAACTGCATCATATGATATAAATATGAGACACAACCCCATAAAGGAGCATTTTTGCCCTTGTATCTTGAATTTTAGGAGCATGTTCTAATGGGCTACATCACACAGTCAGTCGTCCTGCATCATGTTCATCAGCAACTGCATGCAATGTAAGGTAATATACAGGTCTGGGAGGTGTTGGTGCGTTAAATGCATTAATAATTTTAATGCATTCTTTTTTTCCCCAAAATTAATCGTACCAATCATAACGTGTTAACTCGACTGACCGACTTTAAATACAATTCTACTGATAAACAATTAAACAGTAAATGATGGGGAGTGAATTATTTTATTTTTTTTGATGACAGTCATTGTGTTGATTGTGGGATCCTGGTCTAGAGTCAGTACACAGCTGGTCCAGAGACAGACAGGGATTTCTGACCACAGGTGGCATTGGGGCAATGCCAAAAACATTGAGTTTGTGAGTTTCATTGGCCCTGGCATTATGGGCAGTATTGTTTTGGGTGCATTGTGTGTCAGGACCCAGCCGGGAAACAGCTGTGTTAGATGGATTTTTTTGTTGGCAGTGAGATATACCTCATCCAGAACCTTCAGCAAGGGGCAGCTTTGATCCTCACCCATCCATTCCTATGCCCCCTCTCTTCCTCTCCACCATCTTTCATCCCCTCATTTCTGATATCCAATATTTCCATTTGGCTTGTTGTGAAAGGATTCGGAAACATTTCCTCACAAGCTAGCAAACTCCAAAGGACTGTTTAAAAAAAAACAACTGAAAAGATATAGAAGTTTCTTATTGTGATAAATACTATATAAAAATGTTTGTTGTTGTTGCAGATTTTGTTTGTTTGTTTATATCAGAATGTAACTAAATTATTGTTTAGCTCTTTATATAAATTTGGATATACAGAATGTCGTACTTTATCAGTTAACAATATATATACAGTACTATGTAGAAACTCTCAGCTGCTTGATTGCTTTTATCATCACAAAAAGTACAATTATTGTCCAGCTCTGCTATTATTGTATTATAAACATCAAAATCGTGATTTCCTGTTAAATAGCTTTGAAGCAATGTGTATTGTGTAGCATTATAAAAATAAATATGAATTGACTCAACTTTACTTATTCAGTGATTCTTTCTCAAAATACTCCCTAAGACCCTTTAGTTTGAAAAGACCTGATGTAGATCCCAGATTTCGGAGTACACCAGAGACATGTCAGGGTGAAATATTCTGCCTCCAGTCTGAATGGGAAGGTGTTTGGTGATTCTTGATAAGAGGAAATACCTCAGAATTGGCTGTGATCGTATCCTGACAGGACTTCGCACCTCTGACTGTGGGACTGTTCCATTTTAGAATGTTTATGCTTCCCTCTTAACTTAGTTTACTAACTTAACTACTGCTAACTAACATACCAAGTCAATTGCCCAAATTCCTGACGACAATGGAGTTGTACACTGCAGGGGGAAAAAATGTACAATTTACCTTGAAACAAAATTCACTCAGAAATTGCTAGTATCAACCCTCTACATTGCGAGTAAATCACTCGCATATGCGACTAATCTTCACTCTGGGCGACTAAATGATGTCTAATATTAGCCAATGGCTAATAAATTCTCAGATTTTACTCGCCAGTGTGTGAGTTGGACGCTAAGTATAAGTTTAGCACAGATATATTTTCACTCGCCGAACACACTGACTGAGCGCTTCAGAGTTTCACTCCCCGTCAAGCGATCTGTGATATTTCTCAGTTCTATCTATCTATCTATCTATCTATCTGTCTATCTGTCTGTCTGTCTGTCTGTCTGTTTTAATACTTCCAGCATTTGTCTGTCTGTCTGTCTATCTATCTATCTGTCTGTCTGTCTGTCTGTCTGTCTGTCTATATCTATCTATCTATCTATCTATCTATCTAGATGAGAGATAACTTAAAATAGAGGAAGACATTTTGTATTGTTGCTAAATGAAAACTACATTTTCCATAGAAAAAAAATGGAACAAAAGTAACAATATTATATAAATTAATGCTATAATATTGTTGCTATAATATTGTAAAATTTTTGCTAAGCTGGCTGTTTTCTGTGTTGTTCTGGAGTTTTTTTTCTCTCTCTCTCTAATCTGAACCTTTAACTTTAAAGCTGTAAAATAAACAGGATAATACAGTCATATGATCATTATAGTAAAATAATACATAATGCTGACTGCACATTATACCTTATTTATAGAATAACTTGCAGTATATTATATGTGATAAATTTCCAATCATTAATGAATTTGAAATTCTGTCTAAAATACCTTTGTATTTATGCAAAGCTCTGATCAAGAAACTCTTTTGATGTTTGATTTCATTATTAATAACAAATCCCATTCTCTCCTCCTCAGTTCCCAGAATGTGGATTCTTTGGCTTGTACGATAAGATCTTGCTCTTCCGCCATGATCTGAACTCGGACAACATCCTCCAGCGGCTGACGTCGGCAGAGGATATCCATGAGGGAGATCTGATTGAGGTCGTCCTGTCTGGTGAGTTGTGCTAGCTGTGGCTTTATTAATATATAGACAAAGCATTGTGCGGGACAAAAGTTTCACTTTGAAACAACACCATTACCATTACCAATGGATGTGTATGATAAATTAAATACATGAGTGTGTTTATGAGACAAACAAACTAATGTATTTCATTTATCATACACAACCATTCAAAAGTTTGGGTCAGTGAGTTTTTCTTTAGCAAGGACGCATTAATTTGATCAGAATAAATAAATTTATAATGTTACAAAGATTTCCATTTAAGATAAAAGTTTTGTTTTCATCAGAAAATCCTGAAAAAAATGTAGCACCATTTCCACAAAAATATAAAGCAGCTGTTTTCAACATTAATAATAATTTCTTGAGCAGTGAATCTGCTCAAGAAAGTCAGCTGCTGATTCAGCTTTGCATCATAGGAATAAATTATGTTTTAAAATATATGCAAATAGAAAACAAAGTTATTCTAAATTGTAATAATATTTCACAATATTACAGTTTTACTGTATTTTTGATCAGTTAAATGCAGTCTTGGTGAGCATAAAAGATTTATTTAAAAAAATATATTTTTTAAATCGTATGACCCCAAATTAGTGTATATGGACAGTATTAAGTAAATATTAGCTAAAACTATTTTATAAGGAGCAGCAGAATTGTGACAGAATTCTATATTTTGTCATTTTCAGAACCTTGTAAAGAGCTGAACAAAAGGGTGCTGTGAATAAAATACCATTTCAAATTTCCACTGTAAATTAGGAATGACAAATGAAGAACCAACTACGATACAGTAGCTTCAGGTCATCTTGACTGTAGTTTATGTTCTTTAAATTATGCAATCACTTATAGCTTTGCAGCTGGTTACACTGATGGCCGTATATTGCTAGCATCTCTGCAAGATGGAACAGATCAGTTTAACTCTGTAATTAGATTGTAGTCGGTTGTGGCACATGTGTACCAGATGGAGGGGCCCATGTTAATCTAGTCATCGTGAACTTCAGGTGGTTTCCCTTCAAATGCCTGTTAACACAGGCAGGTCAATTCCCTTAAGACCACCTATCACGATCAGTTTTCTCATCAGTGTACAGAGCCATGTGTTGAAAGATTTATGGCTCAAGGGTTCTGTTTACTTGACAAAAACAAGTGACTTTGTCAGATACATTTATGTAATAAATATGCAGTTCTGCTGTCACTTAAAGTAGGGCCCCACCACTTAGGGTTTGAGCTCATCTTTGTTCCCGTGCAGAATGGTTTGTACATCCTGTGTAGGCCTTCTCTATGAAGACTGATCTTCCTGTTGTTGGCGTGTTCACATGGGAGCTGTACAGCACACCTGCTCTTCACATCCTCACTCAGTGGCAAACACACTAATTCAAGTGTCCGGCACTGGAAATCAACACAATATGCATGACTGATTCCAAGCCAGTATTCTGGATTGTTCCGTCTAAAGTTCCAAGCGCTCTCCCAGAACTCAGATCTTTATTTATGAAGGTTTTCCCTGAGGTAGTTGAACCTATGCTCTGAACACATTCTATGAAACTGGTTAAAGGGATAGTTCATTCATGAAAATTTGCTGTTAATTTACTCACCCTTGGGCCATCCTAGATGTAGGTAACTTTTTTTTTTTGTTTTTTTTGAGTAGAACAGTAAAGAAGATTTTTAACTGAAGCCGTTGGCCTTTGTGATTCATAAAATGCAAGTCAACGGCTCCCTGTCTTTATCAAGGAACACAAAATTAATACCCATTGCTCCTGACGATATATTGAGCCCTTATGAAGCAAAAAGATCGGTCTGAACATTACTGAACATTATTTACAGCATTATTACCTGTAATCCACAGCCTCAGGCAAACAGTCTGGAGTGATGTCCAGTTCGCAAATTAATCATTCTTTTGAACTGGTTCTTTTTGGTGAACTAGTTGAACCAGATCACCAAAGCAGACTGAACTGTCTGAAGCAGTTCACCGTTCGAGCAGCACAGATCTACAAGTTACTCAATCAAAACTCATTCCAATAATCCAACTCGAAATGAGTCAAAACACCGGTGTATATGATCCTATAATGAATTAACTCATTCAGTGCTCCGGTTCCTCCAGCAATCACTGAACTGAGGAAACAGTTCTGACTCGGACTGAAGATGGATGAGCCAGTGATAAGGGTATGCGTGAATTGAGCTCTTGAATGAAGGGGCAAAATTAAAGTTTTTATGGTTTCTCATCGTTTATGTAAAAAGGTGAGCTGATGAAGATGTTCATTCACTCTATGTGCTTAAAACATCCACATTTCGCATCCTTATTGGATGCTTTAATAATATAATTGCGTATACGTCATTGCATGATTACGTGAACGAATTAGTGAATTGAACCAGTTCATTGAAACAAACTGTCCAAAAGAACAAACTCGCAAAATAGAATCAGATTTTACTACACTATTAAAGGGTGCGATTTCAAGTTTTCCTTTCTTTTTGGAGTGTTTACAAGCTGTTCGTGAATAGATAAGATCCCTAAAGTTGCAAAGACTAAAGTCTGAAACCCAAAGAGATATTCTTTATAAAAGTTAAGACTCGTCCAAGCCCTCCTAAAACGCCTAGTTTAAACACGCCCCCACATGTCTACGTCACGGTGTGGGAAGATTTGCATAACGCCGCCCAAATGTTCACGCAAAGAAAGGAGGCGTAACTTTATTGTTGATGCCACCGCCGCCACCATGTTGTGAAGACTCTGCGTGTTTCCTTGTGAAAGCGGAAATACTTTGTTTGGCCTTCCAAAAGAGGACACAACTAGAAATCTCATACCTGGAGCTGATCCGTGCTGGTCGCTGAGGAAAGCACTGGATAGTTGGCCAATCAGAGCACACCTCGCTTTTCAGGCCGATGAGCTTTGTAAAAATCGACGCATTTCAGAAAGGCGGGACATAGAGTAGAAACAATAATATACAGTATGTGGAAAATAATGTGTTTTTTGAACCTTAAACCGCAAAAACACATTTCATTACACCAAATACACAAAATAATGTTCTTTTTAGCAACATCATATGACCCCTTTAATAGACGCTGAAGCTGCGGCTGAAATCGGTCACTTAGTTAGAATTCTCTGTATGGTGAATGGCACGTAGTGCACTATATAGGGGATAGGGAATGATTCAGACAGAGTAAATATGCTCTAGATTGGGGCGAATGAAGTCTGGTTTCGCATTGTGTAACGCGAACTGCCACAGCATGCACACAGTCTGCTCTGGTCCAGAGACAAGATAGTACAGAGCGGATTATATGTGCGAGTCGGCGCAGACCGCAAAACGTATCGAACCTGTTTGAATTCTACACAGAATGCTATATTTCAAGCGATATGGATGAGACTGGGAGGAGAAACGGTTAGACAGACTGTAGAAACAGCACTGACAAGTAGAAGAGATAACAGCAGTGCCATTCACCAATATATTACACACTTTTCAAACTACACATCCTCAGCATCATTATAATCACTGTTTTGCTTTAGTAACAGTTTAATATTGAATCTAAAGGGCTAATCTTTTAGACTGTGGCTGTCATAAGCTATCAAATGCAGCTTTACCGATCTCAATGGCTTTGGCCTGAGCAGATTTAAATGAAATAGTGGCTATTGCCTATTGGCTATTTTAAAAAAGGGGGCGGAGCTGCTTGATATTTCCCGCCCTGTCTTCCAGTTTCAATCGAAATAACATCACCACATAGAATAACGCTGCACGTTTCAACGTACTTCAGTGGACCTTTAATGACTTTTGCCAGCATGGTCTGAAGATGATCTGAGCCAATTTTGGTGAAAAAAATGTTTTACGAATAATTCAAAATTGCAAAAAATCTTGGCCTGTAGAATTTTACATTTTAGTATGCATTCGACTCGGCATGAGCCAAGGAATCAGAGGAAAAAAGAATTTTGCTTGGCCCCTAATAATACATCGTTAATAGTCAAAATAGTCTCTCCATGACTTTATTCAGTAGAATCACTAATGATTAAAAAGAAATAAACTGACACATGCAGTATTAGATTATAACAACAAATTCCTCTGTTGAGTTTTAGTAATTGGCAAATGAACAAGCAAGAAATTGCACTAAAGCTGTCTTTACACTATGACGTTATCATCAGCGTGTGCTTTGCTTTCTGTCGGCTGTGCACAAGACTGAACAAGTGGCAGATACATAGGCTGATTCATTGAATCTTAAGTACTTTTATGCCACTTCTGTACCCGATTGAAAAGTATGTGAAGACTTTGTTTTATAGTTTCCTATTTTGACAATTCTGAGAACTGATTTAAGGTTTGGATAGAGCCAATCTTGGGTCCAAATCTGGACCACAGTCTGTTAGTTGATAACTTCTGGTTTAGACAAAACAAACGAATATGCTTTCACACACTGACCCTCAATATCGTCTTGTCTTTCTCTTCCTTGCATCCACCGGCTGTGCTAATAAAACACTCTGCAACTTTTTGTTGGCGCTCAGCTCAAAGGCAAAAGCTTGTTTTTGTTGCAGTAGGTGATGGTCGTGCTTCTGCTGAGAAGAAACAGAGGTTGTGGAGAGCAGCTCTGGTTCAGGGAACAGCAGGACGCCGATCGTTCTGAGCTTTTGTCTGAGATTGCGTGTCGACAGGATCCGCTGCATTGGACATTGTTGTCCTGTCCTTGTGCTGTGTATTCAAGTGGAGTTTCAAACTGTTATCTGTGTATTTTGGTTCGATTTCAAGTTCAGCAGTGGAACAGATCACACTTTATTTGAGGAAATCCTGAAATTGAATGTTTTTGAGGAGGACTTTGAAGGAGTCTTTCTAAAAGAGTAAGAGTTTAGACTTTATTAACTATGTTTGGATTTTTTGCCTGAAGACTAATAGATGAGTTTTGAGATGCCGAGTTCCTCATTTGTTATAATGTATGTAGTGTCTTCATGAATGGCTCATTATGAGCCTGTGTTCCAGTGCTCTGGACTGCTGCCTGCCATGTGATTCACTGCAAGCTCAAATGTTCTACTTTCT